CATACGTATTTACATACATACATCAAAGTATAAAAAAAGAATTCTCACCACATTTCACTACAGATAACCTTTCAAGTACGTACGAAGGGCGAGCAGCTTCATGAAAGGAGATAATCTCCGGCCACAATGTCCACAGACAATAACAAAATTAAAGAAGTACAAAGAAGTGAAGGATATTGTCAATATAAAACGATGCTAACAAATTACTTTTTTTACGCATAAAAATCACACACGTGCATACATATTGTATGTATGAAAAAATAAGGAATTCATTGACGTAGATAAAGCACATTCAAATTGTTTGCATATATGTACATAGATAGATAACGCACATACCTCACTCTCGTACATGTAAGTATGTATGCATATTGCTATGTGAAACTGAGTGTATAGATCCTCTAGTCTAGTAAGCTAAAGTTGTAGGTTAATACATACTAACATTTTAAAGATGAAATCCTACCGGTTCGCTATTTGTAGGCAAATGCTTACCAGTTCACCAGTAACGGGAGTAATAATAATTTACACCACCACACCACTGCTATGTCATGTTAATTTCTAGCAGTCCACGGATATGTTAAATATTCTGTTAATCTCCGTTGAAGTGCGCTGTTATGTCGCTATTGGCTACATTGTGGCAAAACCGAGTGGCACAGAATTTTTTTTTTTTTTGTGAATTAGAAATTCAACATGCAGTAATGAACTGGTATTTATCTGAATATTGAAAATTCGTAGGACATCGCTGGGTTAAAAATACCAGTTTTATACATGGAAGAAAATGGAAGATGAACTAGTTAGTGCAAACTTCCAACTTTTGATTCTAAATAATTAACAATTCGTATTGTTATCTGCAGAGAATGCGTAAAAAATGGCATTTATATATATTTCTATTAAAGAGAATTACTGCTAATGATGACACCAACTGAAGCTAGCACATGATATCCTAGCTATAAGCAGCCTAAAGAATTTTTCGTTAATATTTTCATCACACAAGCAAATAGGCCTTTGCTCACTAAAAACTTATAACTACAAAAAGGAAATCGTTAACATTGAAACCGCACAGAACTCATCGTTAATGTCTATTTTAAAATGACTGCCTGTTATGATTTAACAGCACACTTCAATTATAGCCTTTAACATTATCTGTTAACGATTTAACATTAACAACTGCTTCCGTTTCGGGTAAAAACGAAAAGAAATTCATTTCGATAATTGCTCTAACGTAAATATTTCCAAATGTTTCAACCGAAACGATAGATATTTTTCGATTAACGTGAAATTTATCTTCACATTTATGATTACTCGTTCAATTAATGGATTTTGATAAAAGTTGAAAGTTTAAAATACTAAATTAATAATAATTATTAAAATAAAATTGTGTGATCCATGTCAGCAGTAATATTATCTGTTTTCAGTGGCTTTTTTCGCTTTCATTTTTAAAGGTGCAAAAGAAACATTCTTTAAGAGAGTTAAAGACGGAAAACTGGTGGTTTTTATGAATTATAAGGAGAATTAAACTGTTACTTGGTGAAAATACATAAAATTAAATTAATGAATTCATCTAATACAAACGATCGAATCGAACTGTATCTAGAGCCCTCCAGTATTTATAAAAATTCTAAAATATTTTTTTGCAGACTTTTTTATTTGAAGCCAACACATGTATACAGACCACATAAATATATTCATATTACTTATTTATGAAATTATTTCTCCACTGGAAATATGGAGGGATGTATTTTGACATAACAATTCTTAGTAAATATAACTCGGTTAGTATCAGTTTTACACACAGCACGCATATGTCAAGTGTCTAGATTTGAAGCGATTTTGCTGAAGAAGTCATGGCTCTAAAAAAAAGAATCCAATAGTTCCCACGACAATCGGGTCTTTATACCGGAACGACCCGGATTTTTATGCGGCCTAGGTCTGTCACTCCCGCAATATTCCTCAAGAACCAATTCTGTGATTATTTTGCGACAACAACAAGAACGAAGCAAGGTTGTTGCAACCGTCACAGTGACTATAATGCCTTCTTAAGCTTCCGGGAGCGACCACGACGCACAAAATGAATTATTAGTGAAAGGAAAAATAAAGCTCTTTCTTGGTCTTTCGGACGTCCTTTGGTGGAAAAACATCAAGACGCATACCGCAAATTGGTCCTTCACCTGGGCCGGAAATCAATTCAGCAATAATAAAGCGTTAATTATGTACATACATAAGTGTCTGATTCGCCAGGGGGCTAATGGTTGTCCCGCACTTACCACTCAGGGTAATCGAAATGTCATCTGCATAGGCCAATGACATCGTTGAAAGAGTATCAAAAACAGCCATAGAAAAGTACTTGATGCTGCTGAGGACGTCCGATACTTTGGAAAGGTAGATCCGGTGGACGGGAGTTTGGAGAAATTATTTCGAACCGTGGAACATTCATTACAGTTGCTATAGAAGCAGAGCAATTTAGCCGTGTAATTTCGAATGAGCCAACGTCTAATCACAATCTACATTATTAGTTTGCGTACTCTCCTCGACCCAAGAGAGGAAACTGGTTTTACCAGTTTTGAGTCATACTCTGCTCAGAGTGTACAGTTGTTTTTCCGACCTTCCACATTTTCACTGCCAGACATTTCCAACTAACTTCTGCGAAATTTATGATGAGGCTTTGTACCATCTGGGCAATACAGACTTCATTTAGCAACACGTAACTGAATCACTGGGCATCACAATCCATAGAAAGAGGGCAAATACTTTGTGCCAAATTTCTCAGTATCGCACGTGTCTACACGAGGAGCGTAAATTCTTGCATAATTTTGGGCGCTGGCTAATTGTTTGCTGTTTATGCTTTATGACATATGTATATGTATGAATTGTCTTGCGTCCATGCTCCCTGAATAAGCAACTCGCGTCAGCACAGCGTGCCACCTATATGTCATTGAGCAATGGCCATTTTTTTTTTTGCAACGAGGCTAGTGCTCAACTTAAATACATGCCAGCAATCTCCTCCAGCCGCTTAGACAGCATGTAACTTCGAATCTATAATACTACGACACTGCGAAAATTTTGTTTAAACCTTATCAGTAAGACGAAGAGTTTGATCGACTTGGGGAACAGAACATAACTACCTACATATTTAGACTCAGCCATGAAGCACACAGCATGCACGCTACCGACCTCTTTACATGCCACCTCAAAAATACCAGCAATGTATGTTGCCGTACCCAGTAACGATGTCTCACAAGCAGTTGCTGCGATAGATGCAAGCTTTTTGCAATGACGTATATAATGACGTAGTATTAGAGTATCGTGGAGTCTCCGCACAACAATAACCACCTCTTCACATGCCCCCTTAAACCGACTCACCTAACCCCTGGACCTCCCATTAGATGACCTCGGGGAGCTAGATTAATCAAACCTGAAACTAAGCGGGGTTAGCAAACCGCTACAACAACAACAACAGAATATCGTTGAACTCAAACTGTGGTGTATTGCCAATGCCTCTATCTAAAAAAATACAACTCCAAGAAGTTGACAAAGACTGCACTCACCTTCCAGCCAACAATGCAATTATTGTACTGTTTGATTAAAAACAACAACAATTGGTTTTCACACCAAATAATTTTTATTTGTGTTATGTATTTTTTTCAGTTATTTCTTCAAGACAGTTGGTAAATGTAATTTTATTGTAAATTTAAAATTCACTTAACACTCACACGAATGTGAGACTATTTTTTTATCTTCAGTATAAGCAATATTATTACAGCTTCTTGTAAATATTATTTGAATGTATATCTGCACACACCCTCTGTTAGAGATGTGGCTGTATATTATTGTAATTAGGGATACTGTTAGTTTGTGCCAGTCGGTTAGATCCTACCAGTTACGTAGATGAAGCTAACTTAAGACTATACATACAATAAGGTTTATAGCTAGGGTTATGACTGCAAATACGCGTTTTGTACAGGGCAAAAATCAATATAAATATAAATATGTTTACCAAAAACTTAGTTAATCACAAATTCCACGTGTAAATGGACATAAGCTAAAGGCCATAAAGCAAATATTACAGTGATACATTTGCATTTATTTTTAAACTTGGCCTCATAGAAATATCCTTTTTGCTTTTGTTTATGTGCAAGTGTAATATGATAGAAATGCAAATTCGTTAAACATTGAAAACATAAATTGACGTTAAACATCTCCATATTATTCATTATCGGCTATTTTGTTTTCTTTTTTAATGTAATTTCTATTCACTTTTAAATATTCAAGTGAGTTATTTTTAAAGTTAATTATTTTTAAAGTAAAATTGTATTATTTAAATCAGAAAATAATATTAATACCTTACAAACTAATAGAATTTGTAAATTTAATCAAAACGCGTATGCTGTCTTCCACCGCCGCCACCACTACTACTGCTAGCAGCGTTGCGTGCTCCATAACCATTGTCACCACCGTTGCCGTTGCTATAACCATTACTGCGGCCAGCACCGTATCCACCGCCACTGTTGCCACCATAACCACCGCCATAGCTGCGGCCACCACTACCACCACCACCGCCGCCAATCGCACCCTTTCTAAAGGTGCCATTGAAGCGGGTATTGCCACCACCACCGCCATAGCGCGAGCGGCCACCGTCAAATCCGCGGTTATTACGTGCCATACCCTCGAGTGCTGGATTAATTTCCTATAAATGAAAAATTTGCAAATTTTTTAAAACTCCTTTGATAATGTTTAATCATTTTCAAACTAAACTTAGAATTATGTGCATATATATATATATATAAATATTAATGTTGACATATTGACGATGTATATGTTTATTTACCTGATTAGCCTCTCTTAAAACATCAACTAGCGCTCTCGACTGTTTGGCATTGTTTTTAGTAAAGAATGCATATGAAGTTCCTTTTGTGTTCGAACGTCCTGTACGGCCGATACGATGAATGTAGTCCTCAGACGATTGTGGGTAGTCAAAATTGATGACATATTTAATACCGTCCACATCTGTTACCGTACGCAGGTCAAAATATGTATATTTATTTTAAAGGAAAGGGGGGAAATAAGAAAAATGAAATTAAACCAGTTGAATTTGACAATAATTTATTGTAAGGCATAAAGTGTCATAGGTTAAGGTAATTTAATGTTTTTTCGACATTTGATAAAGTAGAGCACTGTCTTTCATTCTTTTTTTGTTCACTTTTAAAATTTAATGTCTTTTTTTCAGTTTAGCCTTACTTTTCTTAGCTTTTAATTAATTTACGAATATTTGATCAGAGTTAACTAAAAGATACAGTGGACTTAGTTAAAAATGTACTTTACCTTCAAATAGTCGATATATATCCACGCTCTTCTCTCGTCACGTTATGTTGAGCGGAACGAGGAAAAGAGCATGTGCTAAAACTTTTTATACAGTACGGATATATTTTATCCTCTAATCTGTCTCTCCCTTTTTCTTTTTTCAAGATTATATGGATACAAGATGGACGAACGATGCAGCTCGATTCCGCACCTGTACTGAGGTAAGTGCGTCTCGATTGGAGTTCAGCGCACATTCAACTATTTGATGGTAGAGTTTTTGTGCGCCGCCCACCGACGTCGTGCATCCATCATCCATTGTTCAGGCAAAACCACTACCGCAGGCATATGTTGACAAAGACTATGATTGCTTTTTATTCTTCATCTAAGTTAACTTTGTCATTTCAACCATTCCTTAAATATGCATATCGTCCAAGATAATATACTATATATCAATCAAGTCCACGTTGCAAATGTGTCCTTTGTTGGCAGCTTTGCGATGCATTTGTGGCACTTTTTGGAAATAGACGTTTTGCCTTGCACGAATTTTCCGCATCTCATGGAATTTTTTAATGTGAATATGTTGCTCAAAAGCCCTTTGAAGACGACGACGCTTTTTTCTGGACGCGCAGCAAATGATGAACTGGTGTTCTGTGATGCCCAAGTTAGAAAGAGAACAACAGCAACAGCTTCTCAACATTTGTGTTTTGTCCAAATCAAGGTCGCCACCAACTCGTTTGATACAACCGGTTTTTCTCCGTTCAACATATGAGTAGTTGAGTAGTAAGGCAAAACACTTTTTACACCATGCCACGTTACACCAAGCAACCATATTAACGCGTTTACACGATGAACAGGATCCCCGCTGTGATTAGCAATATATTTACTTAAAAAGCACTAAAATTTAATAATTAAATCCAAAGTCAATATAAGGCGTGGTGATCCTGTTCTTAACAAATCAGGTTATATTTTACGAAGTCGATACGAAGAAACCAAAGAACACATGCGATAATTGTGATAACTGTAGGACGAACATGCATTTAATTGTATGGAGTTTCTCTAAGTGCCTGCGTGTGATTTGGCGACGATTACATTACGGAGAATAGAACTATCAAAACTAATATAATTTATAATAATCTTGGATCAGCCTTTCTACATGTATGTGTATTTTCATTTTAAGATCATCATTAAGGTCATCCTAATGTTATAATAACCTTTCATTTATTCACACTCGATATATTGCTTATTATTTTACAATAGTATCACTTAAATAAAACAGATAGCAGAGGCCACATATGCTGCATGATGATAGGGATATTTTGTACTATCGCAGAACTCTTTGCATATTGATTGCCAAGACGGAAAGCAAGATATACATAGTTTTTTATATCTGGCAAGGTATATTAAAACACAAAAGAACAACAATGTTTTATACGACGAGGCGTTTTATATTTCGCGTTTTTGTGCCGCATTTAGTTTTATTTTAATCTGGAGTAGATGTGTAAACGCTTTGATGCACTGTAACGTTTTCTGAACGTTTGTTGCATGAGCGTATCCATTTGCTTTGATGATTTGTGCAATTTTGTGACATTAGATGTTTCGACGACATCCTCTTTGCCACGGAATTTTGAGGGAAGTACTGTTGTACCTATTTTTTAATTGGCTTTTAGGATGAAAAGCTCCTTTTATCATATAACTTTTCGCTGACGCTTTGCACGATAAAGTTTTAGAGTTCAGTTTTCAACGCAATTATGGTGTATTGCGTCATGTTAAAAGTTGTTCATTTTTTATCCCCACCATACTACAATAATCGGCCTCTGTAAACGAAAAGAATCAGGAAAATAGATTTTGGGGAGGGGAAGAAAAGGAAAAAATCCAAGTTGATTAATACGTCTTTTAGCAGAGTTGTGATGACTTATTTGTCGCTAAAGCTAGTGATTTTGGACAATTGTTTCAGTAGTTTAGGATCTATCATACGAGCATTTTTCGGTTGCCTTATAGGCGGCGTTGAAATGTTTTGGCGTAATTGCATATCCCCAAATGGTTGAAAACGTGATTGGCAAAATGAGTTAACGGATATTTTCGTATTTAAATTTAGGTTTTACAACATTTTGCAGTCACGAATCTTTTATCCATTTGAAAATATTGCTATAACAGCGGAACAAAATGTGAGTGATAATGACATAATATAAAATAAAGCACAAGAAAAACTTACCCAAACCACGAGCAGCTACATCAGTTGCTACTAGAATGTTAGATTTTCCCGATCGGAATTCACGCAAAACGTAATCGCGCTCAGATTGAGACTTATCACCGTGGATAGCACCACAGCGCACACCAAAGCTGCGGATGAAGCGAACAAGATTGTCCACACGACGTTTAGTCTCCACAAAGATTATAATTTTGCCAGGATTTTCACTGGTGTCGTAAATCTCAGACAGTAGAGATTTAAGTCTATAATAAAAATAGAATAAGCATTTAACATATTAAATATTAACAACTATAATTATTTCAAAACGAACAAAAATTTTTGCAAGACTCGTAAGAATGTCAACAATACTTACTTGTCTTCCTTGTCATGTTCTTCGCAAACGTCAACCACTTGACGGATGTTATGGTTCGCACACAATTCTAATGAACCGATATTGATTTGTATGTAATTGCCGAGAAAATCTTCTGCCAATTGTTTGACCTCTTTGGGCCATGTGGCTGACCACATAAGTGTTTGACGATCGGGGCGGATTTGAGATAAGATCTTGCGAATCTGAGGTTCAAAACCCATATCCAACATACGATCAGCCTCATCCAAAACAAGATATGTACAACGCTTTAGATTGGTGGCACCCATTGCAAGAAAATCGATTAAACGGCCGGGTGTAGCAATTACGATTTCACAGCCACGTTGTAAGTCACGGATTTGACCCCCTTTTGGTGCACCACCAAACACACAGGTATTTCGCACATATGACGATGAACCGAATTCTGTGGCTACTTGTTGTATCTGTTGAGCCAACTCACGTGTTGGTGCTAGGACCAAAGCAATTGGACCATCCCCACGTTCCAATGGTTTTTGATTATTTATATGTACGATAGCTGGTAATATGTATCCAAGGGTTTTACCAGATCCTGTTTGCGCAATACCAACAAAGTTTGATCCACTCATTGCAATCGGCCAACCTTGCGCCTGAATTGCAGTTGGTGCCTTATAACCCTGGCGGCGTACTTCCTTCATAACGTAGTCTGGGAAGTATGCCTCACTGAAATCTTGAATTGGATTTGGCGCGTTTCCACGAATGGTGATCTCATGTTCATCCCGGTAGCGTTGAACCTCATAAGGCGAACGATTGGCAACAATAGGATGTTCCTCATAAAAATTCTTTTTGAATGGAGTCAAGTTTGAAAAATCTACACTTCCCAGTGTTATGTCTTGAGTGCCACCACGATTGCCACCACCGTATCCGCCGTTACCACCACCGAAACCGCTGCCACCGCCAAAACCACCACTTCCTCCACGGGGACCACCACGACTTTTATCTACACGACCATTACGAACACCGTGGAAATCACCACCGCCGTTACGCATTCCACCGCCATGGCCGCCGCCTTGTCTAGCTTGACGATCATCTCCACCACGTCCTCCACGAGCGCCAAAGTTCCTATCATGAGGTGCCCTAAAAACATAGCATCCATGAAAAATATTAAAAAGAATTTGTATATATATTGAAAACAACCTATTGCGGCTCATTTTCATAAAATCGTTAAAACGTTTAAGTAAAAAATAAACAACTTTTTTTAATTTATTAATAACTTTCACAAAAGTTTAAACAATAAGACAATTGGTCTAAGTTAAATTCTTTTCGGATTTGTAAAGCTAAAAAATTATGCTGATCACTAAAGATACTAGATTATGTCCCGTATAATTCTCTACTAAGCAATTAAATTCCAATAAGACAGTTTTTATATACAATTCATTGTCGCGCGATACTTATTCATTATGGCATTTCGTGCATTACGCCAAATCAAAGCATTTCGTTTTTGGGTTTGACAATAAAAGTACAATCAAAATCTAATCTTGTATAATCGATCCTAATCAAAAAAAAAAGGATGGTAATTTGATTTCATCGAAATGCAATAAACTTTAGTTTTACCAAAAACTTGACTCATTTTTTGGATGTATGTCTATATTTTTAGGTATGTATTGTCGGTGCCTTCCACGGAACAATCACATTACAATTGCTCAATACATATTATTTGCACGCGAGACATTTTTCAGAAAGAAAAGTATGTATACATGCAAATCATAAAAAAAAAAAATTACTATTCGCCTTATGCGAAATCAAACATATACATTGATATAGCGGAAAATTCTATATTGGCTTAATGTTATAATTACTTTGATGGCTAGGCAAAGTACAGCGATATATTGACTATGGATTGAAACGAAATGCGCAGTTATAAAAAGAAAGAATTTAAATTCAAACACCGACAAAAACTTAAGCAGTAATATTCTTGTAGTATATTATTAACAATGTAATTAATTTTTACCTGAATGATCTCATAACACAAATTACTTTTAACTTTATACTATATATAGAAAACTAAAAATTTCACTGTGTAATGCTTCTAAATTTCAATCGTATGACTAGCAACATCTCAAAACAATTATTTTCTGCTTTTCTCTATACTTAAATACGAATACATACAAAATATGAGGGTGCAGGTTTTGATAGATAGAGAAACGAGGAAAAAAGATTAAAATCAAAATGGAGGTCATTACAACAACAACTGACCAACTTTCACGATGTTGACACATGGTACTGTTGAGTTTCATTTATTCAAATATAAAATTATAGATAAATAATACTTACATTTCGTCCGAATCTACGTACAACGTTGTTCTTGAAAATACTTTATTTTTGTTAATTAAAGAAGACTTTTGCTTTTCTGCAGGAGACGTTTCTGCTTCCACAAAATGTTGGCTTGAATTGTGAAAATGCCTGTAGAAGCTAACGGAGCTATTTATTCCACTAAAATGCTTTAAGAATGATTTCTTAATCTTCTGATGCTCCTCTACGTCCTTTCCAAATCCTGCTACCAGATTGTTATGGGTAAAAGCAAAATTCGCTGGTCTTCTGTTAGTTGAAGAAAAAAGAAAATGGCGTCTTGATATAGTACTCGTGGCTGTGTGGTTTCCAACAATTGGAAAAATCAATGAATTTTTCACACAAGTCACTGCAGCAATTTGTGACGGTACTCGGTAATCGCACGAGTTCCTCGCGAATCTTTGCAACATAAATTTAAACATTTTCACTATTATTTTGATTAGCAGCACTTAATATTTCACAACCACATTTATTAGTTGCAAAGCTGCAAGTCTCGTGCGAATTAGCCGATTATAAAATACGTTCTTACCTAACCTCGTCCAAAAGTGGAATGACGCATAGCAACATGGCATCGGAAAAATCCAGCGAGCCGAACAACAGGGTTGTAATTTCTCAATTACACAGAGTTGCCCAACCTTCAAGCGCACAAAAAACTTTTGAGCGAAAATTCTCACAGCAAAGAAGAAGAAAATTATAGGTGTATTTCGCAAAATATATGTTCCATATCACTAGAAGTGTGATTTATCAGTAGAAGCAACAAATTTTTTTTAACCTAAAAAATTTTATTGTATAACTTTGCTAAAATAAACAAATTAATGTGTTCATTTAACAAAAAAAAAAACGCCACAAGTTGTCGTACCATAATGCGTTTGAAAAAGTTGGTAATAAAAAATACGTCAGATAATCCAGGTAATATTATCATGTTCCTCATACATAATGTTTTATATTTAGATTCAATGAAAAACAAAAGCTCCTCATAAAAAACCATATAATTTAAGATAAATTTAATATAAACCTTGGGTCTCTCCGTTTGTTGGAAAAACATCAGGATGCGACACCACATATTGGAGGAGGAAATTGGCCGAAAAACTCGTCATTAAGAAGCTTATATTATATCATACATATAAATATTTATTAAAAATTCTATGTAAGTTGTTGTTCCTCTGCTTGATTTAACATTGAGGAGAAAATAAAAAGTCCAACACAGGGATGGAGCTTTTATTTGCAAGTTTCAGAGCGGGATAATCGAATAATCGTTTTCGAGAACATTTCGTATCGATCTACCAGAAAATGAAAGCGAGCTTTCGGTACGAATACAGGTGCAAGCAGACATAATAGTTTTAAATAAACATTGAAAAATTCTTTACCCTAATATTAAGAAATTGTACAGCAATTTGGGGATTTTTGTGTTAATTTGACAAAAACGTTGCTGTCTATCGTGAACTCTATAAATTTAATTTAAAGAAATAATGAACGCCCACAAACAGATATAAGCTGGTAAGCTTTATATCTCAGTGAAAATATAAGCTATTTATTAGGTGAAGTGTTTCTACTTAATGAATGAAGTAGACAATCTCTGATTACCTGTAGAGATGTGGAATAGGATAAGCATACAACCTGTGTATTTTCAGTGTCCCATTCACAATAGTCTTTGACAATAGGTTCTGCTTCAGATCGGTTTCGCTAACCCATTATTGCCAGTGAAGCTTTCTCTCGATTGTTCCTAACGTATGTAGTATTATGCTTCAGATTCATCAGAAGATACTCCTGGCTTATCCAACTCGTTGCCAAAAATGTTCCCATGGAAGTCAACCCAGATTATGGTGATGTCGAGTTGACCCGAAAGGGAGCTTAAGGCCTTCTCACAATTGTAGAAACCATTTGAATGTATCATTGGCGACGATGAGGTCAGCAATGGGTATACCATCGTTGTGGTTCATTAGCGCTCTACAGGCCTTTTCAATAGAATTCAATAGAGAAAACTTGCGTTCTTCGTAGTATAACCACGACTCCACTCCGCAGTTCATTTTGGCACCGTCGGTGTAGATTGAGATGGTATCTTGCTCTCCTACAAAATCCTCCAAATCAACACGAGAATGATTTCGGCTTAACGGTCTTTGTTAGTGCGATGATAATATTTCAGTCATTTGGCTTTATTATGTTTGCTACAGTCTGTAGCGGTATTGGTATCTCTACTTCTGTTCTTTTCTGTACTTTCATAACCACAACAACGGCTTTGTCGGCAGTGTTGTCCAGACACCATCCTCTTCTTTAATGTAGGTCGGATTATGGCGCTCGTTTCTTACTAAGCCCTCGAGCAGTGTTCTATCGTTGAGCAGTGGGATCGAAATTCTTCTGTTTTCGCTTATACTACTGGTTTTTTGTATGTTTATAGGGTGGCAGATTTTGGTCCTATAACTTTCATTGAAGGTTATAAGATCGCTGTACAATGTACAGGGAGGTGATTTCTTTTAATAACAGTCAGAGGTGTAAATTGCCGGAAGGAATTGGTCTGAAAATTAATTATTTATTTATTATTAATTTAAAGCATTCCCATCTAACTACTGTATATTTTTATTTCTAATCTTGCGAATCTATTCCGAGATGTTCTTCTTGGATTACGAAATTGACGAAGAGTATTGGATTTTTCGCGTGATCCGACATGGATGGCTGTTCGGATATCCTACAGTCATCAACGAGGAAACGATCACCCGTCTTTTACACGACTGTCCAGCTTTGAGCAGGGTTAGGCTTCGAAATTTTTCGGACTCAATTGCTGGATGGCCTATCGAAGATGGCGGACATCTAAGTCATGGATTTAATGAGGTTCATTAGAGAAACAAAATGGCTGGATAATGAAATCGGATGATCAAGTTTTCGTGACATCACAATGGGTCTTAGTCAGTACTAAGTGAAATCGATACGATAGATCGGTAGCCACAACCTAACCTAAACTAGATATGTTACGCAAAGCATGAGTAATCTGCCATTGGCTATATGTTGTTAGTTGTCTCTCGGAATTTGGAGACCAATCAATGAAATATTTTATGTCAAAATACTTACATAGAAAATTGGCGACTTTCGGCCGAGCTCCTCCTCCAGTTTGTGGTTTTGGATCTTGATGTTTTTCCAACAAATGGAGGGACCTACAGTTTATACCTCCGAACGGCAGATAGTTTTTTTATGAGGAGCTTTATTTTATGTCAGAAATACACTCGGAGGGGTTAAGATTCCCTGCCGCCGGTTAATTAGTTACATAAAATTAACTCAAATCTTTAACTCCACATTCTTGAAAATTAAAAAATTTAAGGACATCACACTTGGTAATGCTCAGGTAAAATATATAAGCAGGATTTATCGCTTTATTTTTATATTAATAGAACTTAAAAAAGCAAATTTAGTAAATTTCTATGTAAATCAATATGATTTAATATAAATAAATTATTGAAAACAAACAACAACAAATATGTATATATGCATATTTAACACAACTTAATACGGAAAATTTAAAAAAGGTATTCTTCTGCTATAAGCCCAATAAATTACAGAAACTTTTATACATTCGCGCATGCCTGCCATTTAAGCAACCATACAAATCGTTGATCTTCAAACAATCCGTCTTACTGATAGTTTTCCGTTGACCAATACGCACGCCCGGTTGTAATGGTGTCATTGTAGGTTTTTCACCCTTCTTTTTGCTAAAATAAAACTCACCATAGTGCATCACAGAATTGTAATCGTAATCAAAAGCATGTTTGCCCTTCTTCTTAGATATGAGTTTAAAGTTTTTACGATATTTTGGTACAATATTTTCCCAATGAATTTTTACAAAATTATCTCGATCCGCTCGTGATTGTTCGTGATAAATGCCAATCGCATGCATAAGTTCATGCATAATTCGGCCTTCACTGCTGAAGCAATGTGCGCTATTCTCATCCGGTTGTTGTAGAGATACCACTTGTTCCCCACCACGTTTGCCCACAAACGACCAGCAACCGAGTGGCGCGTCGTCCACTGGCGGTGAAATAAGTACATAATCTTCGTCTTCACCATCGTAGGGTACAAAATTGACACAAGTCAAGGCATTGAATGTTTTTAGGGCTCGTTCTATAGACATACGTTCGTTGTTCGTATATAAATGGCTGATTTCGTAGGGTATAGTTGCATTCGGCCATAAACGTTTCGGATGTTTCATTGGATTTACGCCTAGTCTAAGTGATATGTAAGTGTATGGATCGATTGCAATGTCCCCTTGATAGAGACGTGGCATTGTTTCAGGATCATCCATGCCAGCCTCACTATCATCCCAATCTTCTATATTAGCATCCAGTGGTTCTGTATTAATGAAAATTTAAAAGGCTTGAATTAGCTTTATAAATATACATACATACATGCATACTTAAAACAAAATATAATTTTAATTTCAACTAAATTGAATTCAACTAAAGATTTCCAACGTTTTCTTCTTTTTATTGGCAATTAAAGCTGATTCACATAAAGGTTTCATGTCGCGCATGGTGTAATGATTATTATTGTAAAATTTTTAGAAACCGGTACGGATAAGTCAAGGCACTTGTATTATATATTTATTATTTAACTTTTTGTAATACAAAATAAATCACCCGGTTACTTTCTCTGTCTCTTGTCGATTGTGTTCGTACATTTTTGTTCGCGAACAATTTTTCGTTCTCACATGCGATCATGCGAACGGAAGCAAATACATATATGTTTGTTGGCCATTCACAGTAGTTCACATTTCCGCGCTCAGTTAAATGCACTGACAGTTCGTTTACTACTTGCTTCGCATTATTCAAATCTACGTATTATAAACATATTATTAATTTATTATAAACATTTTACTTAATTATTTAAAATTTAAATATGAATTTGTTGATGTATTTCATAGTTGAATCACATATCTATGTTTTTCCCTAAGTGAGTAATATGCACATTCTGTAGTGCAAGTTGCAAGATGCGTTCACGTCAGCTTTAGGCAATTATCATTTCAAATAAAAACCAATAATATTATTAAATATTATAATATTTTCGCGAATTATATGAAAATTCTATAATTGTGATAGTGAAATAATGTAATAATAATAAATTTAAATATAAATGAAATGAAATTCGGGCCCCATGACTAAGAGCTGTATGACATGCGGCACCGTCCTGTTGACAACACATCAATATCATATCGCGATATCGAGCCCCATAAACAGTCACTGTTTGATCAGCTTCATTTTCTGAAAAGTATGGTCCAATTATGCCTCCAACTCAAAATACACGTTATGAATGCATTTGTTTTTCGACAATCACCCGCGGATTCTTAGACCCCAATTGTGGCGATAAACAAATCCGTGAGGTAAAAATGTGCTTCATCTCTTCCATTAAGCAAGCTCTTTTCGCATGTGCAGGATCATGAGATTTCAGCTGGATACCCAGATCTTTAGTGATTATACACTGTACAGAGCTTCTTGAAATTTGCAATTCTTATCGACAACGCCAAATAGAGGTTTCTGGATTGTCACCAACACGCCTACGACCTGCTTCGATATAGCATTTGAACGATTTGTGTATTTGGCATATCCAACAGATCCTGCTTCCCGAGATTTTTCGATTAATCTCTTCACATTTGACGAAGTAAAAACACTATTCCAAACATATTTTGTATGAATTTTTTGAACTGCGGTCGATATTTTTTTTTTAAGTCAACAACAAAAATCGTATGTATTTTGTTGGTGTAATAAAAAGTTCGTAATGTCAAAACCTATTTCCCATGTATTTTGTTTGTGCAATCTATTGAAATGGAAGGAACAACAAGCAAATATTTGATGTGACAACTTCACCTTCAACAAATTCGCCACCTTCTACTAATGCTGCAACTACCCAACTCACGTACCAGCCGGCCATAGTAACCTGTCTTATGAGATGATGAGTAAACACAAACATGTCACCGCTTGCCCATACCGTTAGTGATGGTTGTCCCGCAGAAACCAACGCCGATTTGATTTTTCCGTAAAACCGGCTCGGTTCATTTTTCGTTGCAATACAAGGTTGCCAGTATGTATAATCTTTCTTAAAGTAACATTAAATAATCGAAGGAGTTTTTTTTCAAAAGAAATGAAAACTAAATACGTAACTAATTATTTATTACCATATAGATCCTGTATATTTGATTTGCGTTTATATTCAAGCATATAAATTCTGAAATTCGTTGACGAAAATTATGAATTTGTTCAAAAGGGTGCAAACACACTGGCAGCTGGCAACATTACGCCGCTCTCAGCAGCGTCGATAACTCGTGTATGTATCTCGCCTCGCGACGTCGCTAGTCATGGACGGCTGGTAAGTAAAATGGGTAGTTGCAGCCTAAGCCTAAAATGTCAGCTGTTGATTTGTTTTTTTACTAGGGTTGTCAACACTTTACTACTTGAATGGCGGAACATTTAAAAGCTTCGTTAATTTTGGGACACCCTTTATATAACGTATGCCATTTCCGCAATGAAATGTCAATATTTTGAATACAAAAAAAAATTAAACCATATAAGCCAAAAATAATTTCTTATTATGTATCTCTTGCCGAAATAATTGTACACCTCTAAATTTAATATATAAACATACACAAGTGTGTACATATATATGTATATTATTGCCTTCTCCATATTATATACATAGATTACCTGGAGCACTAAAAAATTCATGGTCAAACAAATCCACTCCCATAGGTTTGTATCTGGCTTTGATTTGCGCACAGCTTGCCAATCGACAAACGATGCCGCAGGCGATTAACAAGTAGCATAACCGTATAAAGTTACTTTCATTCACACTTCCACTCATGATTATTGATGTTTATAATCGAATTGTATTTCTTGTTATTTATTTATATTTAATTTCACTTGAAAATACTCAAAAAGGAAGGCAAACTTTTTTGTTGCAGAGAATACACTATTTACATGAGCTTTATTTTCGCAATGTTTACACGCAACAGAGATTTCAAAAAAAAAAAAATAAAAAAAAAATTATCATTTGTATTTGGTACAAGTTTGTATATTTTTTTTTTTGCATGAAAGCCAAAATATCGTTGGCGCTTTGCCGGCGAAACGCGTCGGTTTAAAAATCAAGCGCGTGTTGTCAGCGCTGGCTAATGTGAGATGACTGCTTGATATGCCCGCAAATTAACGTCGATTAGTTGCGAATCAACTGTAAAAGCAGCAAATAAAATTGCGTAAATACATATGTATGTATAGGTATATGTATGTAAATAAAGACCAAAGCTACAATATGAAAAATATTGAACAAGCGCGTCTATACACTGTACTGAATCACCTACGATTTGCGACTGCGACTGTGGTTAGTGGCGGTGGATTTAGCTAAGCGTGGCTTCTACAAAGTTACCAATATCTTTTTTTATATCTTCGGCATATGTGTGCATACATATATCTGTATTTATATTTACTTTTGCCCAAAAATATTTAATTCCTTTTTTATTTTATTTTATTTTATTTTTTTTTTATTTTGTTTATTTTTTTTGGTATTTGTCAAGCCACCTTACGTAGTGTTTTGGCGTATGAGCTAACAATTTTGTTCGAAAACCTTAAAACACCAACAAGCATCACGGAAAAGGCAAGCATGTAGAGTAAATTGTGAAAATAAAAAGAAAATAAACAATCAAAAACATAAACAAATCGTAATGCCAATGACTGTTGGAGTCATATAAGGCGAATTGATTACTTGAGGTAATCACCGTATGTAGCTTGAATAGACGTCTTTGTTTTGGCTTACTACTATTTGCCAACTCCAAGCGTACGAATACATACACACACACACATAGTTTGTATGGTATTATGAACTTTTTAGTAAACACTACATATGTATGTATGAATGTGTTTGTGTGTACACAATTACAATACCTGGAAATATGTTTGGGATCAACTGGCTTTTCTGTTTTACATAAACAAAATTTATATATAGATATTAGGCTTATTTATTGAGCTGCTCTAGGTTACGCCAAGCGTCTATTTATAACAGTATTTATGTTTCAAGATTGGAGCAAACTCTTGTCGGACCTGGAGGGGTGATGTAGTGACGGATGCCCAGAGCATTTTGATTTTATGAAGGGAACCATTCTCCAGCCTGCTGAATAGCAGTTAAAATGAAACCGAAAACCCAATCGATGACGTTCTGTCACCCGACTATGTAGAGGGGCGCATAGCGATTGCGTGCTTAAGTAACAACAAAGCGACTGGAGTTGACGGCCTTTCGGCAGAGCTATTCAAATATGGCGGTGTGCTCTGCCCAATCCACAGAAAGGGCGATGCCATAGTCATGTGCCAATTAGCGTCGGATAAGCCTCCTCAATATCGTATATACGGTATTATTGAGCGATAAATACTTGGTTTTAGACCATTAACCAGATATTCACCATGCGCCAAATCTTGGGAAAGACCCGTGAAAAGAGGAACGGCACCCACCTACTGTCTTCCAACAAACACTCATCGCCTTCTCGGCTTGGCACCCACATCACTGTTAGCGGTCATAACTTCAAGGTCGTAAAAAACTTCGTCTATCTTCAAACCAATATTAACACCAACAACAATGTCAGCCTGGAAATTATACGAGGAATCACTCTTGTCAACAGGTGCTACGTTGGACTCAGTAGGCAATTGAAAAGTAAAGTCCTCTCCCGACGAACGAAAACCAAACTCTACAAACACCTCATCGTTCTCGTCCTACTATATTGTGCGGAAGCGTCGACAATGTCAAAACCTGATAAGTTGACGTTAGAAGTTTTCGAGAGAAAGGTTTTACGTAAAACTTATGGTCCTTTGCGTTTTGGCAACGGCGAATATCGCAGACGATGGAACGATGAACTGTACGAGTTATACGGTGACATTGACATAGTTCAGCGAATCAAGAAGCAGCGACTACGCTGGCTAGGCCATGTGATCCGTATGGATGCGAATACTCCAGTTTTGAAAGTTTACGATGCAGGACCCGCCGGTGGAAGCAGAGGAATTGAAAGTCCTCCAATCCGTTGGAAAGACCAGGTAGAGAAGGACCTGGCTATACTTGGTATTTCCAATTGGCGCCAAACAGCAAAAAGAAGAAACTCATCGCGTAAGCGGTGTCTACGCCAGTAAAGTAAGTAAGTAAAAAGATCGTTCGGTTTTTATCTAAGAGATGGCATTATTGTCTATACTACTAGTGTTACGTATCGCCTCATGTCATACATTGTGACTGACGATGAAAAACGGGGAAGCGGCCCAGACGGTGGCCAAGACCGGATTGACGGCCAGGAATTTTTTGTTGTGTGTTTGGTGGAATTGACAAGGAATCATCTACTCCGAGCTGCTCCCCTATGGCCAAACGCTCAATTCGGCCCTCTACTGCTAACAACTGGACCGCTTGAAGGCAGCACTCATCCAGAAGAGGACATCCTTGATCAACAGAAGCCGAATTGTGTTCCATTAGGACAACGCCAGGCCACACACGTCTGGGGTGACGCCAGAAGCCCCAGGAGCTCGGATGGGAGGTCCTAATGCTCCCACCTTATAGTCGGGACCTGGCTTCAAGTGTTTACCATGTTTTCCTGTTCATGGCGAACGCGCTTAATGGTGAGAAGTTGGCCTCAAGAGAGGGCTGTGAAGCTTGGCGCTCCGAGTTTTTTGCCAATAGGGACGCAGCCTTCTCCGAGAGGGATATAATGTAGTTGGCAACAAGTTTACGAACAAAACTTCGCATATTTGATTTAAATCGGACAAATGTACTATGTTATCATATATTGAAAAATCATTAAAAAAAGCGAACGAACTTTTTATCTGACCAATACATTATATATGGGATATGTCCCGAAAAACTGGCGGATCAACCCACAGACTAAACCGTTCATTGTACAGATCTGAAACTTAGAGAGTGTGTTCTGCATATGACATAGGTGTCTGATAAGAAAGGATTTTCTGGGATGTGTACCTGGGACTTGAATGATTGACGGCCTAATCCATCGTAGAAATCTGAAACTTGACATAGCAATCCAATAAGAAAGTATTTGCTGGGATGTGGGTCTATTTGATTATATTCGATTTATAAAAAAACTTTTACGGCTACTTCTGTAAGCCTAAATTATCGTGCGGAAAACTTTTTTTCCGCGAAATGGACCTAGTCGATCTATTCGAAAAAATGGTTCGATTTATATTTTGTCTAAACTTACTTTGTAAAGACTTTATCTTCCTTTTTTCAATTATATTGCCTTTGCTTGTATCCTCACAAATTGATCTCGATCTGAACGTTATTGTTCGTGATACGTTTGAATCGCATGCATAAGTTCATGTAACCACTTGCCGTCCACCTGTTTAGCCAATATACGTTCAGCATCCAGCTTGGTATTTTTTTAATGGCGGTGTTATAAATATTAATACAAGATATGACTGCTAATATCATTATAGCGTGTTCTATTAGTATGCGTTCATTGGTCATAAGCGGTGTGGGTGTCTTTTCCATTAATCCCTTGTCAAAGTGATGCATCTGAGTCCACATGGATTGCAATGTCGCCTTGAAGAAATTTAAATTGTTTATTTTACACAAATCCGGACATTTTCGAAGAGCCAAGAAACAAAATTGTTGGCCAGAAACATATGCTGATCTACACTAATTATTGTCGATAGTTGGAAAACATTTCAAATGAAATAGCTAATCGCTTTCTCTTCTTTTTCTTAATTGACGTTGGCACCGCTTCCGCGATTATAGCCGAATCGCATGGCCAAAATTTACTCATGGAGTCAGCTTTCGAGTACGGATCGCATTAGTTTCTAACCCATAGTCGAGGAGAGGATGTATATACGAGTGAGGATGTATATACGAGTGTTAACAAATTCTCCAGCGTTATGCGGCTGAACAATTTCAATGAATGGACGCGATATTACACGTATGTTGCACGCTATCTTGCCCTTAGGTACACAGTATGTATTTATGTTCTTAGAAAGAAGAGCTCAAAAGCTCATTCACCGAATGTGCGACGCTCTTGATGGTCGTTCCCTCCAAAAATTCTTCCATTACCTGGCCCAATATACCAACCAGAAAGTTCCTAATGGTTGCCCGAAGGCAGAAATATATATACGGGTCTTCTTCGATACTTAGCTTCACAGCACCAATAGCGTCTTCGTGCACAATGTACGGTGTTTGTATGTTTCGAGGCCAAAAGTATAGAACTCGAGAACAGTTTCTCATCTATAACCGCATATCCGGAAGCAGAACTATTGTATATTCAATTTCAACCATTTGCTCTGTAGTAGTCAGTTTTCTAGAGACAGTCAAATAAAGCAGAGAAACTTTTTGCCTCGACGGTGCTTGGTTTATTTTTCTGCATAACTTTTAGCAAATTTGGTAAGGACTTACCTGAATGAATGGCATGTGAAATTTCCCTTCAATACAATATGTATATAAAATTCACAATTGACGAATTAGTATTCTCTAGCATGCAATAAAAATGTAGGTACCTGCAACTCCTTCTTACTTGGTAAGCGTAGTAGTAAGGCTACAATAACCTAAAAAAACACACATGACAACTTTTCTTACTCCAAATAGTGTTTGGAAATAAAAATAAGAGTACTTATGATACATCTGCCATGATAAGGCAGTGTTATTTTTCAAAGGTGAATTCAAAGCTATAGTTTCCACTTTACCTCAGCGCTTACAAGGCCTTACCTTCTTTGCTGCTGGGTACATACATATGTATGTATATATTTTTGCAATATAACATGTCCATATGTACGCATTTGGCATTAAATTATGCATTAAATCTAAATTGATTTTATTATCTTTAGTGGCGCTGTCATTGCATTCGTTATACATACTACGCATATACAGGGTTATTAACTTCGTTCTCTCAAAAAGGATGTATTTTGACATCATCAGGCATTTACAGAAATTGAACAATGCGTTGAAAATGTTAAAACTCCAGATAAAAATGAATTCAAACAGGGCCAGGTCTTGTGCTACAACTACTCAAGCATTTGGTAAAATATGAGAACGGCTTGAAGAGATTAGATCGGTTACAGAAAGAGTCTATGGCCTGTGCATTATCGTTTTTATTTATTTTTTTTACCTCAAATATCGCTCCTCTAGGTGAAAGTGAAGCCGAGTGTGTCTACTTTTAGGCGTTCTCAAGAGGTGAGACTTTACTATGGCACATTATGGCGTTTTTGAACCCCTACATCCATATAAAATCCACCTGGCACAAAAATTTATTTTTCTATGTTGCAAAT